TTGCTTTCTGGTTGTTTCTTTTTCATAGCATCCTGTTGTTGACTTACGAATGCAATATCTTTTATCAAATATATGTTGATGGTAATAAGCATTTAAAGTACTCACCATACTATACTCTTCTATCCTCTGAATTATATGTATCTTCTTTGGGGCCTGTTTTTCTGTTTATCTTTTTATCACTCATGTTGAAAATTTTTCTAAAATTTTTAGTAATCCTCAGTTGTATATTTAAGAATGATACATTAAAAAAACACTTGGGAGTCTTAGGGATCGGGGCCTATGGATCAGCAGACTTCCCTTTGAGATTTATTGTTTGTTCTTTTGCAGGACCTACACTTTAGATTGCCAAGACCTTTGTTCTGGGGCCATTTGATTTCTCCAAAAGAGAAAGATTTTTAAAAAAAATATATTTATTTAACTTGTATACTTGGCTGCATCAGGTCTTTGTTGTGGCACATGGTATCTTCATTGTGTCATTCAGGATCTTTCAGTTGCAGCCCATGCTTCTCCAGTTTCAGCACATGGGCTTAGTTGTTCTGCATGTGGGATCTTAGTTCCCCAACCAGTGACTGAACGTGTATCCCCTGCATTGCCAGGGGGATTCTTAACCACTATTCTGTTTATCTTTTTATCACTCATGTTGAAAATTTTTCTAAAATTTTTAGTAATCCTCAGTTGTATATTTAAGAACGACACATTAAAAAAACACTTGGGAGTCTTAGGGATCGGGGCCTATGTATCAGCAGACTTCCCTTTGAGATTTATTGTTTGTTTTTTTGCAGGACCTACACTTTAGATTGCCAAGACCTTTGTTCTGGGGCCATTTGATTTCTCCAAAAGAGAAAGATTTTTTTAAAAAATATATTTATTTAACTTGTATACTTGGCTGCATCAGGTCTTTGTTGTGGCACGTGGTATCTTCATTGTGTCATTCAGGATCTTTCAGTTGCAGCCCATGCTTCTCCAGTTTCAGCACATGGGCTTAGTTGTTTTGCATGTGGGATCTTAGTTCCCCAACCAGTGACTGAACGTGTGTCCCCTGCATTGCCAGGGGGATTCTTAACCACTGGGCCACCAGGGAAGTCCCAGGAAAGATCTTTTTTAACATCCTCTTTCTGGTGAATAAATGCCTAATGGCCTGAAAATCAATGGTGGATGGAGACAGGAAGTTTGACTTTCAACTAGTGCCTTTTTCCAGCTCCACATTTCTTTCCTGTCTTTAACTGAACCAGTTACTTGCGAGTCCTAAGCTTCTCCTAGATTTTTGGCTTTATGTGCTTTCATAAGTATCAGTATTTTAGGCTGTGGCTTCCTCTGTCCTACTTCCTCTACTCTCTTCAACCTCTTTTCCACCTTGCCTGAATCCCATCACTCTCTAATTGAAATTCATTGATGTCATGTCTACTGAAGGCCCATCTTGTGTTCTCTTAATAATTATGAATTTATCCTCCTTTTATTTTTTCATTGTCATGTAAGTGGAGTTTCAGGAGGGAGAGAAGATATATTTATGTGGTCAGACTCCATATGGAACAAGAGACTTTCATTTTTTTTCTCTTAAAGTTTTGCATTCTGGCTCTGACTATAAGAATTCTACTTAAACTGCTTTCTTGCAAATATTTCAAACAAATGTACTTTTCATTCCCTCCTTCCCCATAAATATGTTTACCTTGCACCCTCAGGCTAAAGCTTATTGCCCCAGAGGAAAAAATTCAGTGGGTCCTTCAAGAAAGCAGGCCACAAAAAAAAAAAGAAGAAGAAAAAAGAAAGCAGGCCACAAGATAGAGAAAAGGTGATACAAAAGAAGTTCCTGTGGAACTTCTTAAACAGAAGTAAAGAGATTTTGGCAGGAAAAAGAAAGACTTTGAGCACAGACAGTTCCCAGGCTTGAGTAACAGACGATAGATAGTATTAGAGGTTAGTGAAATTTGCACAGCTCTTCAAGACAGACGAATGCTTTCTCTTGATTTCCGTTTGGGAATTTTGCAAATCATCTTTGCACAGGGTCCTGCATCAGCATGGAGTGACCACAGCAAAAAGAAAAAGTGGTGTGGCTTGTTACATGGTATTTCTGATTATCCCTTGGCTCCCATGTAGTGTAAAAGGGATGCAGGTGTTTTCACAGTAGATATACCTCAGCAGACCCCTCATAACAAGAACCTTGGGTAAACTTTTACTGAGTTCTCAAACAAAAAAACCTACTAAAAGCCAAGTAAATAGTCATCACTGCAAAGAATAGTTAAAAATAAAGTTGAAAGTGACTGAAGATACAGCCAATGTTGGAAGAAAATGTTTCTAGAGAGGCAAACAGGCAGAAAGGCCTATAAAGACGGAAAATTGAAGTCAAAAGTTAGCATTGTCAAAAATAAGAGATTCATTTTGGCTAGCTATCACAGTTTTAAAAGATCTCTAAATCCAGGCAATCATAGTATAAAATATAGGAACAAGATCAAAGCTTAGTGGCACCAAATCTCCCAGCTTGATTCCTTTTGATCAGACTTGTGATACTAATTTTCCACATTATCTGGGGGTGAGGGATAATTCATCAGACACTAGAGTAGTCTGGGAAGCCAACTTAGTTTTTACACCAAGTATTTATATTTTCAGAATCTCTCCTTTATGGGAAATACTTAAAGCTTCTGCTTAAAGGATACTCAGGAATTGACCCTCCCAGATTTTAAGAGCCAGAACTCTGGAGGCTTAAACAGGATTATTATTACTTCTTCCAGAGACAGATGAAACTTATCTTGTCATACGACCAGGAAGAGTGGGCTGGAGAGTAAAAGAGTTTTTTTTTTTTTTTAAGCCCTCCATATGTAGGGCTTATTAGCACTTGGTTCTTTCTTGGACAATCCTTCATTAGAAAGATCACTGTTTTAAATTTTACATGCTTCTAGCTAGAGAAAGTAAAAATAATATAACAACTTTGGCTCTCTTTGAAAGTAATAACTTGGCACAAAATTTCATTTTAATGCTAACGATGACTTTATATGATGCTGATATTTTAACACTTGCTTTTTAATTTAATTAATAATAATTAAAATATTTTCTTTATTGCTATGTTTTTAATTAAAAACTGTTCTTGAAAAGATTAAACCTAAATAATGGTTTTTAGATAAAAACATAGCAACAAAGATAAATACTTTTAAAGAAGAGAAATCACCTATATGCCTACTAGGGTAACTGTTTTTATTTTTGTATATTTCATTCTGCCTATGTGGCACAACCCTGCAGGCCTGAAAGATACTTTGGAAATCAACTAGTCCAAACTCTTAATTTTCATGCGAGAAAACTAAGATTTTCTCCACAGAGAACGCAACTGCAAGGGGGGAAAATATCACTATTATGTAATATAATATTAACCCTCTTAAAAGCTATCTTTGGAGAATTACAACTGCAAAATCTAGATTACTTAATAAAAACTACCAGAAATCCAGGAATTTCTACAAAACAGATGTGAATTCAAAGTGTCTGGATTTATGGATTTGAATTCAAAGCTCCCATAATGCTATGCATTGCTACTACTAATGCTGTCTGCAGATTGTTGATCCTGGAATGCACTCTCCTTGATAAAAAGGCAAACTGCAAATGTTAAAAACTGCACTTTTGAGGTTTTCTCTCTCCTATAACTCAAAGAACTGAAATAGCAGTGAAAAGGGGGGGTGTTCTTTGTTGGGAACATGGACGACTTTCAAAATAACTGTTAGAATCTGAACTTGCTGTTACTGGGACAAGACCCAAAGTGGGAATAGAATACCTCCAGTTCTGAAACATGTCTGCTACTAATCAGGAATAAAATCTGAAGCAAAACATTTAATTTTTCTAGTTTTCCACATTAGCCTAGCTGATCTCAGAATTTGTTTTGAATTTTAAAATTCTATGACTTTTCCTTCCATGAATGTGAAAGGCATCCTGTATTTCCATCTCTGGGAAAACCTTAAGTGTAAAGACTTGGCTCTATTAACAAGGTCTTAACATGCTCTTGTCCTCTTATGCTTCTTAAGTATGCCCTGGGCAGAAACCTGGCACTTTTTTGGCACCCCCTTCCTTCCCTTCATCTCCTGCCTTCATATCTTATCTGTAACAAAACCTCAATGTCTCTCCATTTATGTTTCATCACTCTTCTCCATCCACACACCCAACACTTTAGTACTAGGCTTTATATCCAAACAATAGGAACAAGTAACTGCTTTTCTGATGTTCCTCTCAGAGTACAATCTGCTGTTCTAATAAGCTTCTATTGTATTCTTTTTTTAAAATTCAGATATAGTTGAGGTACAATATATGTTATAATTATACAACACAGTGATTGACAATTTTAAAAGTTATACTCCATTTTTTAATTATTATCAAATATTGGCTCTATTTCTTGTGTGGTATAATATATCCTTGTAGCTTATTTTATACAAATAATATTATGAATAAAATATACACTCCATATTCAATCTGTCAGGAAATCCTGTTGACTCTGTCTTAAAAACATGTCCAAAGTCTGACCATTTATTATCATCTCCCCTACTGTTACCCTGGTCCAAGCCAGCAAAAGGAAACCCCGTAACTATATCTTTGCCTGTAGCTATATCTCAAGCACCTAGAATAGTCTGGAGCATAGTGGATGCTCAATAAATACTTTTTGGTTATTGAATAGATAGTGAGAGATATGTGTCATGGGATCATAAAGTATGCAAAGATGGAGACAGGCACTAGACAAAATGTCTTACCATCTTCCTAATCTTGTGTAGTTGGAGAAGGAAATGGCAGCTCACTCCAGTACTCTTGCCTGGAAAATTCCATGGATGGAGGAGCCTGATAGTCTACAGTCCATGGGATCGCTAGGAGTTGGACACGACTGAGCAACTTCATTTTCTTTCTATGGTTCCTTTTGGAGTAGGAAATGGCAATGCACTCCAGTGTTCTTGCCTGGAGAATCCCATGGACAGAGGGGCCTGGTGGGCTACAGTCTATGGGGCTGCAAAGAGTCAGATATGACTAAGCAACTAACACACACACACAATCTTGTGTAAGTAGAAAATTCCTTGCCTTTTGTTAGTTGTTTACATCTCTTGTAAGATGGCTCCTATCTTAGGGAAAAGAAAGCACTTTCCACTGTCAAAGCCTCAATTTGGTCACTAGGGGTGGATACCATCTTATTTCTCAAATGTTATCCTGAACATTTCACACCTTTGCTAAGTTAAATAGAAGAAAGCAGGGTCTATTTAAATGAAAAATCCCAGGTCTTGACCTTCAGTGCTCAAAATTTTCAAAAACAAAAAGAAAGAAATCTAAGATAGGAGTATTTAACTCTATGAAAGAAATTTTCACATACTGAGGTCTGAAGAAGTCACTCTGGATAGCACACAAGTTTTTACCTTGGCTAAAATGCCCAGTTTGTGGATTATCCAACACATATTGTACATCTGCTTTATTAACGGGCTCATTAACTTAGAAGTAATCTGATGCCTGAGCAACTAACACTTAACAAGGCTGTCCATGATAAAGACAAAAATTCATTGTCTCCCCTCCTGGGAGGCCAATGCTGTTACTCCTTCAGTGATGACTCCCTTTCTACGTATCAAGGCAATAATAACTTCCTGTGTTCCAAACTGATCTATTTTTTTTGAAACCTTGAGGGAATAGATCCCTGACTTATTGAATGTTTTGCTCTGACACAACTATGCTGAAAACCATACTTCCCCTCAGGACTTCCTCAGAGTTACCTGAGACGCTATCTTCTGGACTTGTACTTCTGGCTCAAATAAAACTCTTCTGTATTCCCATGAGAGATTATTTTTTTCCATTGACAAGTCCATATTTCCAAGAGGAAATAAACGGTAAATAATGATAGTGATAATTAAACAAATCACGCTAATATCAAATTTATCTTACATCACAGACAGTAGAAACACCACTTTGGCTTCTTCCTCCGATTTTTTCCTTTATCAGAAAGACGCACACTCCCTGCCACTAACGGAGTGTTTTCAACAAAAAGAGAGATCTAGATTTCTTTCGGTGAAGCATTAGCGTAAAGGTGGCGTTCCTTCGACTCTACAGGCGTTCTGTGCTATTACGGGCTTGAATTGACCAAACCCAAAAACTCCAAGAGGGACGTCCTCTTTCGTGGCCGAGGACGCGAATGAACCTTGGGGGCGTTACCAGCTCCCTCAAGGTCCTGAGAGAAAAATCTGCCGGTTGAGGACGCTCCTCTGCAGGAGCGCGCCACGGCCTCCTGCGCTCAGTCTGGTACATTTCGTCCAAAGTGCCCACCAGCCCTGCTCCTCGTTGAACTGGAGTGAAAGCTGCCGCTGCTCCCCCCGAAGACGCCGGGGCGACCCGTTAGCCGATTGGGCGGCCTCGCGTCCTCTAGCCCGAGCCGCGCCCAGGAGCGGGTGGGGGAGGGGCGGCGGCGCTCGCGCTGCGTCGAGTTTCCCAGAATTCCCAGCGGCCGCAGGGAAAGTTTACGGGACGTAGGCGGCGACAGCGGCGGCCGCAGTAGCGGTTACTAGGTGGCCAGCAGCGGACCATGGCCCTGGCCGGGCGTTCCTGGCTCTTTTCTCGGAGTCCTCGGGCAGCGACGCGGAGCCGGCAGACTTCCGGGAAGGAACTGACAAGCGCTTGAGCGGTGACCGGCGCGCTTAGCGCCCCGAACATGCGGCAGTCCTTGTGGGCAACCCCGGGCTGCGGAGAGGCGGCGGCGGCGGCGGCGCGGGAGGGAAGGAGGCGGCGGCGCCGGCGAAGGTGGCGGCGGGGACGCCCGGCGTCCGGCGCGGAGCCTTAGGGCGGTTGCTTGGCGTGGCCTGGGGCCTTGTGGTCAAGGATGCTGTCCCGAAAGAAAACCAAAAACGAAGTGTCCAAGCCGGCCGAGGTGCAGGGGAAGTACGTGAAGAAGGAGACGTCGCCTCTGCTGCGGAGTGAGTGTCGGGCGGGGTGCGCCCACACCTGGCCTGGGCGGCCGCGGGCTACGGGGGACCCGGGCTGGGTGTCCGACGCCGCTCCCCGCGGCTTCTCTTTCCTTTTGGCCTCTGTGAATTTTTTTTTTTTTTAAATGTCTGGAGTGATGTTCGTTGTTTGAAAGCTGATAAAGAGTAAAAAACTTAAGTTAGTCCATCTCCGTCTCCCCCACCCCGCCCCTCAAAATCCACAGACTTCCCTTCTTGAAGCTATGTTGTTGGTTTTGATCACTGGAAGAAAGATGTTCTTTAGGAAACAAATTGCTCATCCCCTGGTTCTGTAGGAATTAAAGGGATTACACTGGGGCACGTGTTTTCCTCTTGTTACGTCGAGATTTGCATTGTGTTTGCAAACATTGCGAATGTCACTCGCCCTGCTCGAAGTTGTGCGAACGCTTGAGTAGAATTCTTAGTCCAGCTGTTGGATGATGACGTCCGGAGGTGAAAGCTGACCGTCGCTATTGTAGCTGCTGCCTAAAAAGCCTCGTCAATTGTAGATCTCAGGGTTGAAGAGCCAAAAATTATATGTGTTTGGCTGTGTTCATGAGAATTTCTTCAAATAAAACCTGGAAATACGCCAAAGACTCAAAATAATTTCCATCATACTTTTGGGGAAATTACGAAAAAAGTTGTGTGTGTGTTTGTAAACATTTTTTAATGGAGTGCATTTAGCTGGCACTTTACTTATTTTCAATTTAAGTATTTGACTCTAATTTTCCGACTGAATCTTTTTAATTTTTAATTCTTGCTTGTGTGTTTAGAACATTTGTGAGGTAAGGAGCAATTTTTTTGGTGTTCATACTGAATGCTGGGCCCTTTGTGTAAGTTTCCTTCTTGGAAGCTGGTGACTTTGTGACTTAAGCATTACCTCATATTGTAATTGGGAAAGCTTTTCATAGAGGTTACTAGTAATATTTGCCCAAGATCGCACAAAAAGGGGTGGAGAGCATGTTTTTCCATTATAACCACATCATCAACCTTCCAGATTTATCCTTGTATTTGCAGTGCTTTCTTACAGAACAGATCGGATGGGTACATCAGTAACCTGAAACTTGATTTTTAAAAACTTTTTTTAATAGTTTATTTTTCATTTATGTAGTCTCAGGATTTTGGCCAAGTTTAAGTTAACTTGCAGTTAGCTTCAGATAAACAGTGTTATTCAACATTCCTTAAAATCATGAAATGTGTTTGCCACACCTTTTAGCAAATAACTTTAGATATATAGTATTTTGTTTTAATTCATCAAATGTTGAACCTTGTTTATGTGGATACTAATTTTTGTCTGCTTGGCTTCTGTTGCATATTAATATGCGTGCCCTCTGATACTGTCTACTTAGTGAACTAATAAATGGTCTCCAGATCCAGCTTTCTTCTTGTTTTAAAGGTGTGTGCTTTCTAACTAGGAATGCTTAAGGTATTTATTTAAGTTTTATATTCAGAAGTACTGTATCCTTAAAGCCATTGCCGTTTTCTTCTGTTTTGAATTATAATTGTTCTTAAAGGAGCCATGATTTTAGACTTGGCGTTTTGTTTTTGTTTTTGTTTTTGAACTGATTCAACATTTGTGTGTGTTTTTGAAATAAGATTAAAAAAATTTTTTTTTAATTTTCATAGCTTAATTTTTAGTTTTTCTGTCTTTTGAGTATTGTACTATTGCTACATAATTCCAAGAGTAGAATGCCAGGTTAATAATTTTTAAATTTTTTTTAAAGGAATTCACCTTTACATGTTTGAGAACAGCATTATGTTCTGTTTCATTTTTTAAATTGTGTTTTACTTGAAGAGTTTGGGGAATTTTGGAAATGAAGTAAAATCGGCAAAACAAACTAATATTAAATTATGCTGGTAACTGTATCCATTTGTTAGATTGTTTACTATTTTTATGCATTTATTCATGAGTATTTCATTAATATGTATTTTGTAGTTAAACTTAGTGATGTTTCATCATATTATGTTTGGTAGTATGCAGAATATGTTTGATTCTGGTAGAGCATACTTATAACACATTCATACAAATTATAAATTCATTTGAGTAGGAATGTGGCAATCAGCCTCAATTTAAAATACCCAGATACTTTGCTAAAGTTTTAAATTGTATTTTCTTAAGTCCATTGAAATTTTTCATTTTGGGGTAAGATATAAATAAACATTGGAAAAAATAAAAAAAATAAACATTGGAAAAAATAAAAATTGGAAAAGCATATTACTTACTAGTCATTTTATTCTTTTGTTTTATTATAGATCTTATGCCTTCTTTTATCCGGCATGGTCCAACAATTCCAAGACGAACTGATATCTGTCTTCCAGATTCAAGCGCTAATGCCTTTTCAGCTTCTGGAGATGGAATAGTTTCAAGAAACCATAGTTTCCTTAGAACTCCAATTCAAAGAACACCTCATGAAATGATGAGAAGAGAAAGCAACAGATTATCTGCACCTTCTTACCTTGCCAGGAGTCTAGCAGATGTCCCTAGGGAATATGGCTCTTCTCAGTCATTTTTAACAGAAGTTAACTTTCCTCCCGAAAATGGAGACTCTGGTTCCCGATATTATTATTCAGATAATTATTTTGATGGTCAGAGGAGGCGCCCACTTGGAGATCGTGCACATGAAGACTATAGGTATTATGAATACAACCATGATCTCTTCCAAAGAATGCCACAGAATCAGGGGAGGCATGCTTCAGGTAACTTAAAATTATAAATGTGACATTTGTTTGTATATTTATAGATTTATTAACACTTCATTAAGATGATGTTTTCTGGATTTTCTTGAAAAGCCAACAGATACTCCTAGAGAACTACTACTCTTGTTTTGCTAGTCTTTCTAAGCTAGCTTGCAAATAATTATTCACCTGCACTGAGGGAAAGAATTTTATGTCCATTAACTCATTTATTTAACTTATTTTATAAAAGCTTGGTACATATCTGAAGGCTGTCTAGGCAGTATGAACTTTGAAAACTTAGAGATTTTAATGTCTATAGTTGGATTGACTCTAGGTTTAGATTTGGTAGAACGGGATGGTTATGACTTCAAAGAAACTGGACTTAAACCTGGGAAAGCAAAGGCAAATAGGAAGAATTGGGCATGGTAGGTGATACCATGGACAACTGCATCATAGCTTAGCTAGAACTTGCTCTGTTTTGTTTTTAACAGACCTGTTTTTGTAGTTAAATAATTATTTCCCTGGTTTAAAAAGGCTTATTGTCAAATGGTTGATTGTGTGTTGTGTCCTTTTGTTCTTTTTGCAATGGGGAAAAATATTTTCCATATAATTTTTTAAATTCTGCTTTCTGTGTTTGCTGACTTTGGGACATAGTACAAGGAGCAGAAGAGAGGTAAAATGCACAGTTCTACTTTATTCCTAAAGTACTAGATTACACTAGGTAAACTGAAGCAAGCTGAAAAATCAAACTTTTTCATCTGATTTTTTTTTCCTAGTAAGTAGTAGGCTTTACAGGTTGGCAGGATAAAAATAAAACATATCTGATACATTTACACTTCATTCATTTAATATTAATATGTCTAGTATTTTCCCTTTTGGTATCTGTTCTGATACCTTAATTGGGAGAACAAAACCCATATGTGCCAAATGATCACAGATGAGTTAGTTGTTGCACTTTGTGTAAGGGGAGTCAGAAGAGAGATCAGCATAGGCTAGAATGCATAGAGAATGGTTCGTGGAAGAGGTGGGATCTGAACTGTTTTCTTTGAGCTTGGACTTCAGATTGACAGGAGACGTAGAAAGGACATGGTAGGTGAAAAATCAGTGAAAACAGCAGATATGTAAATCCAGGGAACTGTGTCGTTCTGTCTAGTTTGAAGAAATAAATTGGAATAAGTTTGAATAAGGTGGAAAAGAGATTAGTAATGCAGCAGCAGGCTGTACAATTTAAACTCAGGTCAAGCAGAAGCCGTTGCAGATTTCAAAAGGACGAGATTTTAATTTTATGAAAGCAGTGTTGAAATATTAGTTTATTAGTTGTATTCGGAATAGATTGCTAGAGGAAAGAGGACCTCAGGTACCAGTGGTGTTAGAGACGAAGTGCAAACTTATGATGCATTTGAAGGAAAAATGAGATTTAATTACAAGTTTAGGAGAAAATAAATCATTTAAGTTTTGAAAATTGAAGAATAGTGTGGAATAGGTGGCAAGAGCACCTTATTTAGTGAAAGCTGACATTCAAGTTCATTGGGATACTGAAGAGGAGAGGTTTTCTAGACATAGAAATACTGCAGTGAAAATAGGTGAGTACCTGTTTTGTTAAAAGTGCTTCTAGGTTAAAGGATTGACAGTTGCATACTTTAGTGCTTATTTTGGCTATTTGTAATATCCACATTCAGAAAACTTAAGTCATGGCATCCAGTCCCATCACTTCATGGAAGATAGATGGGGAAACAATGGAAACAGTGAGTGATTTTATTTTGGGGGGCTCCAAAATCACTGCAGATGGTGACTGTAGCCATGAAATTAAAAGCTTGCTCCTTGAAAGGAAAGCTATGACCAACCTAGACAGCATATTAAAAAGGAGAGACATTACTTTGCCGACAAAGGTCTGTCTAGTTAAAGCTATGGTTTTTCCAGTAGTATGTTTGGATATGAGAGTTGGACTGTAAAGAAAGCTGAGTGCCGAAGAATTGGTGCTTTTGAACTGTGGTGTTGGAAAAGACGCTTGAGAGTGCCTTGGACTCCAAGGAGATCCAACCAGTCCATCCTAAAGGAAATCAGTTCTGAATATTAATTGGAAGGACTGATGTTGAAGCTGAAACTCCAATACTTTGACCACCTGATGCAAAGAACTGACTCATTTGAAAAGACCCTGATGTTGGGAAAGATTGAAGGTGGGAGGAGAAGGGGACAACATAAGATGAGATGGTTGGCATCACTGACTCGATGGACATAAGTTTGAGTAATCTCCGGGAATTGTTGATGGACAGGGAGGCCTGGCATGCTGTAGTCCTTGGGGTTGCAAAGAGTCAGACATGACTGAGCGGCTGAACTGAACTGAATGTTGTGTAGTTTTTAACCTTAGAAATAGTTTGTTATCCAGTAGTGAGTTTTAAAAATAAAGTTCATTTTTATAAATTTTTTAGAGTAATACCTGCTTATTATAGGAAATTTGCAAAATGCAGAAAAGTAAAGGTAAAGCACTCATTATACCAGAGGTTCTTTGTATTTAGTTATTTGGTTCATCTTTTTGCATGACATTATTTTTGTTTTTTAAACAATGTTGTGATTATATCCAATACAGTTTCTTATACCTGCTTTTTTACTTGAATGAGTTTCTTAATGTTAAGCACTATTTTTGTGGTGTTTTGGTGCCCTGTAATTTTCCATTTGGTACATGTCTTATGGTTAATATTTTAATTATTTGCACTGGATGTCAGTTGTACCATGAGAACTCTTAAGTTGTGGCATGTGAGATCTAGGTCCCTGATCAAGGATTGAACCCTGGTCCTCTGCCTTGGGAGTCTTAGCCACTAGACAATCAGGGAAGTCCCAGTATTTTAAGTGTTAGTGAGGATCTGACCTAGTCTGGGATCATTTGGAAAGGGGAGAAGTGGGACACATCTGCATTGGATGGCCTTGGCCACTGATGGTTATTGAGGGATGAGGGGAAAAAAAAGTCAGATAGGATTAGCAAAGCACCTGGCTGTATAAGAGGTGCTGTAAAAATAAATGGTTGAATAAGTGAATGGATCCACAGATTTCAAGTCTGTACTGGAAATAATAGCTTATAGCAATCCGTTTGTCATTAATGAAGATTATTGTTCTTTACATTTACCTTTCCCATATATATTTATGTTGCAGACATCACTGATAGCTCATGACACTTTTATGCCTAAAGTATGAAGAAATTGATGATACCAAGTTAAAATCTGATACCAGTGTAGAATATTTTAAAATTCTGATTTGAAAAGTATTGAGTAAATACTGTAAAAACTAAATTTCTACTGATCCTGTCTTAGGATCCTACTTACACAATCTGATACAGTTCTTGTAATTTTAATGACAGACTTTAAAACAACTTTTTCCAGTCATATTTTAGAAATAAATAAAAGTTAATTGGATATTTCTTCAAATTAAAGAATGTTATTTAGAAAAAGATTTGTATTAGTTGCAGCAGTGGTACATGCTTAAGAAATTTCACTTAACATTAATTTATACCAGGGCAATAAGATTAATATTATACCTTTTAGAGATAAAAATGATACTACTTTACAGGAGTCTCTAAGTGGCAGGGGAGGATTAATAACCAATTATTAACCCAATAGAAAAGCCTAATAGCTGTCTTTTCCAGAGGGAAAAAGTCTCAATATGAGACAGCAGCTGGAAATTTCTTGAATTCATCTTGAAAAGACTTGAAACTTACTGTATTTTCACATGCTGGAGAGAGTGCAAGAAATTTGAATGAATGGAAAGGAGAAAGTAAGTTTGTGGGAGAGTAAGGATGTGTTCTAGACAGATATATTTTCACAGGTTTTAAATTTTGGTTGCTGTTACTAATGCAATAAGCATAAAAAAGGTATGGAAGAAAACAGTTTTGTGCCTTGACGGTCTGAGCCAGCATGGAAGCTCTGAGAGTAGTAATTCCTGCCAGTTAGTTGTTAAACTCTGAGGAGACGCCTTGTCTCAAGGGTTAATTTCATCTCACTGTAGTTAGCAGGAGTACAAAAAACAAGTTGTAGAATATCTTACAGGGTGTTAGGGCCTAGGATGTTCTACATTTAGCTGTGAAATTTGACCTTTAACATTTTGGCCTACATACCAGTCAGGCAGTTACTGTATGTGCCAAAGAAAGAAATTCTGCTGTTAACAGGAAGTCTTTAGTTGGAATACTAAAGGCAAATTGAATTCCTTTGTTTTGTGCCTAATTTAGTTCTATGCAATTTTAAGTATCAAACTTTTAAATATTATTTTTAAAGACAGCTAAAGAAATCAAGTTATAAACATCCAATTAAAAAGGGCCAGGCTTTACCAAACAAAATACTGGAGTTGTGTTTACTCCAGGAAATGCATAATTATTAGTTAACCCTAATCTTCTTTTGAGGATGTGGAAATAATCCTTAGGGGCACAGTTTTACTTGTAGTTATTTGGAGAGGAGGAAAAAGGCACTTGGCTTTGTTTAATCCATATAATTTTTTATCAACATCTTAATTATAACACGGGCTGTAATGTTTAGTATTATCTTGGAGCTCATATCTTTCATTAGGATTCCAGATGCCGTTTTATTTTTTGTAATTACTTTAGCATTAGGAAGCTGGAGTTTTTGAGCTTGTCTGTAAGGGCAGATCTTGTAGATATCTGCCCAGTTGTGTGACATTAAGTTCTTTGGAGGGATATCTAGTGAAAGCTTTGTGGAGAGACAAAGTAATATTTTATTGGTGTCTTTGGGAAATTATGTATTTAGCTTATTAATGTTTTAGTTTATTTTATATAAGTGGAAGGTGCTTGTGCAATTAATTCCTGCAAATGAAAGTTATTTTAAAGATTATGAATTCACTTTTTTCTCAGATTAATTAAAATTATGGAGAACTATTATTTTTTTCTTATAGCTCAGAAACAAGTTCAGAATTACAGATTGCATTTTCTTTTACTAGCGACAGTCGTATTTTTCTTTGAAGAATTACGGTTGACCTTTTGTGGTATGGTTATGTTGTAGGTAATAGATTTGTCGTTTGAC